GAGCAGAAAGTACTGGGTTTTTCTCTGGTGGTGGAAATACTAATTCCAGGGTTTTCTTATGTAGTTTTTTTTTAATTTTATTAGTTGATTGTTCGTCGTATCCATTGTTTACTGCTATTTGCTTAATGATATTTAATTCTATTTAAAAGTTGTATTTTGACATCGGAATTTCTGTCAATCTATGTAACATACTATGATAGGCTGCCAGTTTATGTTGTGTGGAATGGGATGATGAATTGTGTATAGTGTATAATGTTAGTATGGGTAGGTTTATGAAATATAGAGAAGTCATGTTTGTTTTTAAGTTTGATAATTTTTAAATCTAAGAAATTTATGGATTGATTTAGTTCTGTTCCTATTGTGAATTCGATATGAAGTAAATTAATATACGATAAAAATTGGTCGAATTGCCTGTTAGTTCCTGTGAAACATACCAGTACGTCGTCTACGTATCTCCACCAATATAGAAACTGTTTGAGTATGCTATGAAACTTAGCTGTATTATCATATATAATAACGGAGCTTATATTGTGGCCAGCAGTCAAAAGGAAGATCGCGGATATCGGGTTTTTAAATTGTATCGCACGCAAATAAATTATTTGTAATTATTAAGTATAAAATAAATAAAGACTTTGATAAATTCATGAGTGTTATAAATATTGAACCTTTAGTAAATTAAAATAATAAAAACAATAAATTAGAATTAATAAAGACTCAACAATATATACAAATAATAGTGCAGGACTTATAATGGGCAATCCTCTAAACTCATTACTATCAGATATTTTTATGGATCATCTAGAGACAAAGATTTTAAAACATCCCAATTTCATCAATGCCCATTTCCTCTCGTTTCGTGAATACGATCAAGCAGAATTTGGAGACCACCAATATTTTCTGAGGGAATTACTAAATCGTCCGTGTATCTAAATATATTAAGTAATTCCCCGTTGATTTCGTCGGTGTAGTTTTCTCTAGTTTTTACGATAGGAAAATCTTTCTACAAAGGAATATCTTTGTTATCAATTCCTATATTTATTAGCATCTGGAATAATTGTATATGCTTTACTTTACAGAATGCCTTTTGAAAGTGCACGAAGCATGCAAATACATATTTTCTTTGATCACGGCATTTTTGTAATAGGATATTTAGTGCAAACAGTGCCTCCCTACTTCTCATAGCATTTCTAAAACTAAACTGGATATCTTCCTCGCATTTGCGTCAAATTCTGTTGTGAAGAATTCTCAGTAAAATTTTAAAAGTGTGGCTAATTTTCTAGCATTGTGTATTTTAAGTATTGCGACAAAGATGAACTTGAGCCAGTCTGTGGGAATCACTCCAGTGTTATATATTGCATTTAAAAGTATTACTGTATCACTACTACTTTTATGTTATCTTCATGTACTAGCTTCAGCTACTCAGTTGGTGTATTATCTGGACCACAAGCTTTAATAATTTTAGCATTTTTTATAGCGTGTTTTACCTCTCATTTCATAATTTCTGTGCCGTCATCAATAAAATTTTACAATACAATAATTCGGTAATATTGGGTCTGTCATCTTCAAACAATTCTGCTATAAATACAGCTGCTATTTCCTCTTTATTTCGTTCTCATTTACAATAATTTTGTTGTTATTTTTTACTAGTACATGGGGAAATCGTTTTTTAAATGCGTTTCTTATTTATTTTCCTTTTTTGTGCACATTAAACCGTAAATATGACTTTTATAATGTAGAGTTAAGAATATCTACAATTCATATTTTTTGACAAACCGCGTAGGTATATAACTAAAAAAATTTATTATCTTATGATTGTATTCTACGTTTAATATCATGCAGAACTTTTAAAAATTCATTCATTAAAAGAGTGCATCCATATGGTGCAGACTTAATTAATAAAATTGGTATAATACAGAAATATGTAACATATCTCTGGTATATTATATAAATTTTTTTGTGAACAGCTTATTCCATCTAATATATATGCAACCAATGTTACAAAAACAACCACATAAAATTTTTATGGATTTAAATGTTAGTTGCGTAATATGTAAATCAATAAATATGCTTGTTTTCTTCTACATATGCGTCTCTTTCCATTATTTTGTCTTGTTCTTTTTGTTGAATTTTTGATTTTTTTTCAGGGTTGCAGGCAATATATTTTAATTTCATTATTGGATTGGATTTTTTGTAGCTTAAAACAGCAGCGAGTGTCTTCTGTTGCGAATCTCTTGCATAATGTTGTTGACAAAGTGAATATTGCCCTCAAATATTTAAATTAATAGACTTTTTTAAATTTATACTAGTGCATTGTAACGTTCTTTCTTATTCTGACTCGTGGTTCTATTCTTATTGCAGCCATATATTTTGTTTTATCCTTGTTGATTTGTAGAACAAATTTCTTTGTCTGAATTTTCTAGTTTAATAAAATTTTCTTTGAAACTAATGTTGTATTCCCTACTATATCAATATCATCAGCGAAAGCCAGTATAATGGGAGGACTTCTAAAGAGGAGAGCTTCTGTGTTCGTTTTTTGGCATGATCCTCTTTAATGCGATTTTAGAGAGAAGTGGGGATAGCGAATCACCCTGTTGACCACTTTTGATTGTAAAAGTCAACAGTTTTCCTACTTATTTCACTTTCCTACTTTTTACACTGTTGACGGTTTTTTCCTAAATCCACACTGATAGTTTCCTATTAGATGTTCCATACTTGCAATAATTGTTCTTATTAGGAAAACTACTTATCTTGTCTTAATATATGATATACCTCTATAATTTGAGCATTACATTTTATCACTGACCCTTTTTTATATCTTCTTCTGCTTTTAGTGCCTATCCATTTTGGATGTTCACGACCATTATGACAATCTGTACTTTACACACTGCTTTCCTGAAAAGATTTATGGTTGTTGTGTCAAACTATGTACGTAGATTCTTTAGCCAGAAAATCCTTCGCCTTCCTGCGCCTTCCTGCGCCTCGCTTCCCTTCTACTTTTTCTTGTAAAATTAGTTGCGCAATCCATATCTTTCTCCCTTCCTCATGATGTAACCGATATATTTGATTTGATAGTTTTTATTGTGATTCAGCTCATTTTCTTTTTTCATTCTTAATATAGCTTCATGATGAGTAACGTGGTCGGTATAAAATATTTTTAGATTTCGACGATCAAGCCACATTTTGAAAGAATTTTCATGCAGCTAGCTCTTTAAGAGTCCACGACTTAACTCCATACCACACTATAGGAAAGATGTAACCCAAATGTAACCTGTAGGAAACATGCATAAACATCACAGTTCTTGTCTCTATATCTTTGAAATAGTACTTGTATGCTAAAGAGAACCTCTCTCGCACCCACTGCATTCCAAAAATCAAACTGGGGACAGCTGATTTTTTTGCATAGTCTATATTTCCTTTATTGTATGGTTTTTATAAAAAAACTTTAAAAGATTATAGACATTAGGCTAATGGTCCGGAAATGACTACAGGATACATATTTTGTTTACTTTGGGGAGCAGTAAACGTCGACATCAGCCATGTTTTTGGTATAACTTCGCCTAAATATATGTCATTAAATATTTTTGTTAGGTGTTAAGTACAGTCGCATTCTCAGGTCCAAGAGCTTTACCATATTTTAATTATGATATTGATTTTTCCACTTTAACTGATGTGATCGGTAAGTGGTCATTACATATGTAGGATGGAGGTTGTTCAGACCTCAAATAATGACAGAGATGTTATTTGTATTTGGTCCATATGCAAATTTCTTGATTTTTATCTGTGATATTGTTTCCTTGTTAATCTCTCAGTATGCTAACGGTGTTGGATTTCTTGTTAATAAGTACATTAAACCTTTTTCTCCAGGGATTTGGCACTTATTCCTCTTCAAATATTTCACATATCAGCTGATAGAAAGCATGTAGCATGGTTTCTTCTATCCTACATGCAATTTTTTAAACTTTCTGCAGATATATAGTGTCGCTTCCTACAGCTCTGTTATTTAATAATTTCCGGATACCTCTTGATACGTTTTCTACTTGTACTGTGCCTCTATTTAGCATATTTAAAAAATGGTATTTATATAATATTTTAAATCTGCATTATTTTTTTAAAGAAAGCTTTTGGATTCCTGGAATCTATGCAATTTTGATTTAGGTGAAACAGTTAAAAAAAATAAGACAAAATCTTTACAAAATATTTGAGTTTTTATTATTATTAAAAATATATATAATAAATAGGGTAAGTTTGTATGGCCATTCTTAACTAACTAAACTTAACTAATTAAAATGTCAGACTTGTGACGAAAATAAATTTGTTACGATATTATTATTAATTCTATTTAAAATTTGTCGTATTTTTATGATTATATTATAAAAGGTAAATTTTATGTTCGTATTATCCGATAAATATGCAACCCCCTATGAAAGGCTCCAGTACTCACTGAGGAAGGTGGCTGTGAATAGGACAGAAATTTCTTCCACCAGACCACAAGAAGACCCCTTTAAACCAAGGATATTTTAACTAAAAACAGAATGCAACGATACACTGAGAAACTCCATCTAATCATGGTCTAGTCAGGTGGTTACTGAAGACAGTCAAGCAGAGAAGTAGGTACCGAAAATAGAACTTACAGAAACAGACGTCCAGGAGCCAAGCGGCATAGAGAATCAGATTCCCCAAGAGAATGCAGTCCCACAAAGAAATCAGTGCAGAAGAGTAACTCTTACAGAAGAAAAAATAAGACTGTAATATAACACTGAAATACACGTTTTTATTTATTTTTTAATATTTTATAGCTTTTTCTCGTCGATGTCAACAAAACAAGAATGATTGTATTTGTCGCTAACATTTGATAATCGACACTACCAGAAGAACAGTTTTTTAAAGGTAATTTACTTAAAAAGTTATAGCAAAGCTATTAAATTAACTAATTATGTTGAATACTGGAAGTATTTTCATCACAAAACTGTCAAATATGTTTATCACAAATTCTTTATGTACTAGTTTTGATGAAATTTAGTGATTAGTTTGCTTAAATATTCATTTGCCGTTTCAGTGTGACCTGCTTTTGGTTTTGAACCCAAAACATAATTCTCCGCGTGGATTGGTATCAACGCTTGCGCTGGATCGACTCCTGCTATCGCAGTTCCTACTGGTCTGGCTATAGCTAATCCCCCTGGACCTACAACAGCGGTAGCTATTGGTTTACTTGCAGCTACGCCACCTTCACCTAAAAATTAAAATAATTATGATAATACACATCATGACTTTTTAATCAATAGCATATAAGTCCAAAAAACAAAGACAACATTGCTAAAAATTAAAAAAACGCTCCATTTTTCTTTACTCTCTTCTCTACGAAAGGCTGCAAGTTTATACAGTTATCATAGTTGTAAAATAGCAGGCCGGATTACCACAGAAATATCAACAATTAAAAAGATGCATTCATTACGACAGATCCTCTAGAAACCATTAGAATTTAATATTGAAACCCATCACCTCTTCATCGACTTCAAGCCACATACGACAGTGTCAAGAGAACAGTACTATACCAATCAATGCGTGAATTTGGTACATCAGAAAAACTTATCCGATAACCGAGGAAGCCAATGTCTAACTTAAAACCCAGCGTTAGGATACAGGCAAACTCAGTCCAGGACGAAGAAGAACCTTATGGTTGAAGAACTTGCGATATTGGTATGGGGTTGACACAAGCATGCTATTTAGGGTGGTATTGTATAAAATTAAGGTAGCTATGATGGTAACCATCGTTCTGAAAGGGCATGGTACACGAAGAAGAAAAAGGTAGGATACAGAGATAAAATTCTCGATCCTTTGAGATAAAGGATGGACTCAGACAAGGGGATGCCCTGACTTGCCGCCTATTTAGCATTGCCTTGCAAAAGGCAGGCAAAGGCACACGAATTAGAGACGGCGGTACTATTTACAATAGATCGATACAAATCTTAACATACGCTGATGACATTGACATAATAGGGCGTAGCAAGCGCGATGTTATTATTTTCTAGAATTGTAAATGGCGGCAAAACAGGTCGGTCTAGTCATCAAGGAATACAGAACCAAGTACATGTTGGTTACTAAGGATCTTATAGCAAACGAGAACGGGAAACAGACTTTGGAAGTCATATCTTTGAACGTAGTAACAGCTTCACATGCCTTGGCTGGTTAGTGACTTCTTCTTCTTTACGTGCCATCTCCGCGACGGAGGTTGGCAATCATCATGGCTATTCTGATCTTAGATGCTACCGCTCTAAATAGTTTGATTGGTGTGCATCCGTACCATTCTCTCAAGTTACGCAACCATAAGATTCTTCTCCTTCCTACACTTCTCTTGCCCTGGATTTTTCCTTGTATAATTAATTGAAGTATATTGTATCTTCATTACGTATAACATGCCCCAGGTATTGCAGCTTTCGTGTCTTGATGGTTTCCAATACTTCTATTCTTTTGTTGACTCTTCTTTCTCATGACTTCGTTGTTTGTTACATGCTCGGTCCATAATATCTTTAGGATTCTTCTATACACCCACAGTTCAGATGCTTTCAATTTTTTAGTATTCTTTGATGGTATACAAGGCGAATATCGAACACAGTAATTAATTAAATCTTGCCCAAGTACTTTCGATCAATAGATCATCCTGAGGGGCATCTGAAATAAGCCAAGAAACGTTTTTTTTTTATAAAAAGGGAAATTAATTCACTTCGATAAAAAACTCGAAATTTATGGTTGAAAAAAGTTTTTATGTGATAAACGTTTACAGACTTACTTCGTCAGTTGTGGCCTATCCGACATGAGCAGAATGTCATACATGTAAATTTGGACATAACAATACAATACACAAAGACAAGCAAACACTTTAAAATTTTTTAAAAATGGAGAAGCTATATGTTATATAGAAGCCGGATACAGAATGGCTCCCGGTCTGGCGAAAATATTGAGATGACATGTGACAAATGACAGCTTGTAAAGGGCGGTTACAATAGATATGTGATCTGTGATCAACTAATAGATGTATTAGTTTCATAGAATTTTGAAAGGTGCAGAGTAAGAAAACTTAGAAAGGAGCATTAAAATATCGGACATGAAAATATTATGCGAGATATATGGACGGATCCAGGATGACAAAAGTTGTCAAAAAAGAACAAATACTGGAATAACAAAAATGTATGACAGTCCTTCGATAACGACTCAAAATAAATCCCAAAACATATGATAGCTAAGTCATGTAGAGAAAATAGATCAAACTAAAGTATCGAAGAGCCTATAAAGATTAATAATTAAGGACCTAGAGGAAGAGGTACATCCAGAATGGCTCACAGCAGTGGATGAACATTATGTTTATCACATTAAAAATAAATAGAACCTATTTACCTGCTACCGCTAGTCCAACAGGTCTGGCTTCGGCTACAGAAGCTTCATCTGCTGGTAAACCGATTCCAATGGTATCGCTGTCAGTTTCTTCCTCTTTTTCTCCCTCTTCTTTTTCTCCTTGATTGCCTTCTTCCTTTTCACCTTCCTTTTCTTTTTCCTTTTCTGCTTCTAATTGTTCTTCTTTTCGTTTTTGGGCCTCCTTTCTTTTTTCTTCATCGGCTTTGCGTTTTTTCTCTTCGTCTTTTTTCTTATCTTCTTCTTTCTTTTTGTTTTTATTTTTGTTGTTTGAATTTTTCTTGTTTTCCAACCAAGCACTTATACCTTCTCTATTTTCTAATCCGATAGGATTGGACTTTTCTTGTATTTCAGCCAATCTTAACGCAGATGAACTTAGGCTATCCATATTTTCTTTATACGCTGTTTCTTGAGCCGGACTTAATTTTCCTTTTTGTTTTAGAATTTCTTGTAGTGATATTATCTTCTGAGCAAAGTTTTGTATATTCTTTAGATTCTTTCCGAAATCTTCCAAATCGAATTTTGATGGAAGTGGTGGATTTTCTAGCTCAGATGTATTAATTATGTTGTCTATACTCGTACTTTCATCTTCGTCACCTTTTGGTGGCGTCTTAATTATAGATGTTATAACCGAACCATCTGACTTTTCTATAATTTGAAGAGATTGTCCTTTTCCTCCTCCGTAGAATGGAATTAGTGTGATTTTGTCATTTGACCTAAAACAAAAAAATGTATATCAATACTATACTATTACAAACTATTAAACTCTACATGTAGTTTGCAAATATATGTACAGTTGCGGTCACGGAATAGTTTACAGGTTCACGTATCTAGGAGCCCATTTTTTAAATTTTTACTTCGTTTAAACGCACCTTTTACGTCAAAGTGACGTTGCCAGTGGTGTACTTGCTAGAATAGGTAGATTAAAATTAAAATATCAAAATATTTTACAAAATGAAAAATATAGAAAACAGTTTTTTGAATAAAATGGATTATGATCTTAATAACGAAAATAAAGAAGTCTTTTTTTTTAATATGCATTTTATTTTAAATCTATTTTATATTAAATAACGATAAACAATGATAAATAATAATTAATATTTGGTGGAAGCCCCATTATTGTCAATACAATTTTGCAGTCTTCATAGATAGCACCAATCCCCTCATGTTATAGTTAACCAGCTCTTCCCATGCCTGCTCAATTGCTTCCCATAATTCAATTCTATTCCGTGGTCTAAGGTTTCTTTCATTTAGTTTCTTTGTTAACTCTGCCCACACATTTTCGACGGGGTTAAAGTCTGCACTACGGGAAGGCCACGGAAGAACATTAACATCAGTTTCTTCTAGCCATTCTCGAACAATTCTACTCGTATGCACCGGGCAATTGTCATGTTGGAAGATAAAGTCGTTGTTGGGGAATCTCTGGATCACCGATGGCAACATTGTGTGCTCAAGAATATGTTTGTAATATAATCCTGTTAACTTCTCCTCTACATGATAACAAACGCCCGGGCCTTCGGCACTTATCCATCCCCATACGTTGACAGAGAATCCTCCACTATTTCTTAAATGATGCGTATACTGTTCATCATACCTATGATTTCTCGGCCTATAAACTCTTATTCGACCATTATTATACGACTGAAATACTTTTTCATCGGAAAATACAACCCTAGACCAAAAATTCTCATCGCGGTTTATAAATTCATTACAAAATTCAACTCGTTTCCTCTTGTGATCCTCAGTCAAAAAAGGTTTCCGTGCAGCTACACAATTTAGCAGTCCACTTGCTTTAATTCTTCGACGTGCAGTGCGAATACTGCCTGGAAACGCTGCCTCTTCTCTTGCCTTTTGAGCTGTGGCAAAAGGAGATTCTCTCAAATAATCTACTAACATCTCATCCTGTTGATCTGTGGAAATCTTCTGCCCTCCTGAACCGCCCAACCGTGCTATAGAGTGAAAATAATCCCATCTTTGTTTAATCTTCCATATGCACATATGACTCACGTTCAAATCAGCAGCAACTTGCCTTAGTGACCAACCTTCTTCGAGTTTGGCAATTGCTCTTGCTTTTTGCGCATAATTCAAATGTATTTTAACCATTTTGGAAGAGTTTAATATACTTTTATTTTATTGATGAACACTCGCGAAAGCATTGACGTTTTGAAATTTTTTGACTTTGACATTTATCAAATCCGTACGACACTGCAATTTTACAGTATTAGAATATAAAAAGTAAGGTGTAAACTATTCCGTGACCGCAACTGTACATATAAGTGTAAAAACTAAATTCATTATAATTAATGTATGCGTCCTATTATTTAACTAATCTATAAATGTGGTTATTAAAGAATATTTCGCCTGTTTTTTAATGATCTTAGTGACTTTTTTAATTTATAAAAACCAAACTACAACTTAAATTAATACGTTGAACAAATTTTAGTACGTAGTTCAAAAGAATCAACTATTTTTATTGGAAAGAATGACAACAGTACTGATATTTTTGGGACGTTTTTTCTTGAAGATTCTTCTTCTTCTTCTTCTTCGTGCGACTAGGATTACTCCCATATTGGATAACAATGGGCTGAGCGAGTCTCCTTGGCGGATTCCTCATTTTAGTTCTAAGCATTCTGTTTCTCCTGTTGGCATTATAACTGTGGTCTTGTTGTTCTTGTTAATTTCAATGTCATCTGCTATGTTCGCTTTTTCCTCGATTTTATGTTTTATGACTGCCATTAACAATTTTAATGTACTATTCATCAGACTAATGCCTCTATAATTTTCAGGATTTCTCGAGTCTCCCTTTTTAAGTATCAGTAGCAGTAGACTTTTCTTCCATTCCGCTGGTACTACTCCGGTATTTATTATATCGACGAATAATTTTAGGAGCCATTTGCGTAGTGTTGTTCCTCCATATTTTAGCAGTTCATTGTTTGTCTTATCAGGACCAGGTGCTTTTCTGTTTTTTTAAGTTTTTTATTCATTCTTGTAGGCCTTCTTCTGATATTAGTACTCTATCGTGGGTTTCGTTAATGATTATTTCTCTATTCTTTTCTTCTCCTTTTCCATATAATTTCGTGAAATGCTTAGTCCATTTTTCCTCCGTAATGTTGTCTATTCGTACAAATTCATTCATTTTTGTTTTTTGTCTCCTTATCATCTTCCACGCCTTTTCTGGGATCCATATCTTGACGCTGGCACTTAAATGTTTTAGGAGTTTAAAGATCGCTGTGTTAATGTTAAACTCAGAGTAGTATACTGTGTATAAAGCGGTCTTCTATATAATTGGATTTAATTCGAAGAAAAAAAAGTAAAACGAGCATACCTAATTTACTTCGGCCACATATCTAGGAGAACGGGGACCATGGAACTATTGGTAGTAGGTAGAAGGCCAAATACCAAGGGGAAGATCCACAACACGATGAGCAGACCAAATGAAAACTCTGATGGGAAAATACCTACATGAAGTCGTCCATATGGCACAGGATCACTGCCAATGGAGGCAGCAAGCAAATAATATTCACCATACCCTGACAACGGCTCAAGGAATGAAGAGGAAGAGTAATTCGAAGATAGGTGGAGATATTTGGTGTTCATTAGTGCGACGTGCTTGGTTGGACGATATTTACTAGGGGCTTTCTAGATTTTAATCTTCGAATAACTATTAGGTCTTTATGAATCAGCAAGTCTAGATTGATTTTCGAAATCTTTAAGCATCCACTAATAATATGCATCGAGTGACTAAGAAGTTTTCCAGTTTATAAATATAAGAACTGTTTTTTTTGGACCTATTCTCTATCATTCCATTGTTGGATGTAGGTCTCCCCCAGTTCTCTCCATCTTTCCTTATATTGAGCTGTTCTCTGCCATGTGGGACCTCCTTGTTTCCTGATGTCATCTTTCCACCTCATCTGTGGTCTGCCTCTTGATCTCTTTGCATTGTATGGACGCCACTTTCCGAGGGAATTGTTCCATCGTCTGTCTTGGAGACGTTCATTGTGTCCAGTCCATTTCCATTTCAGTTTTGCTGCTTGTTCTATCGCGTCTACTGTCTTTGTTCTGGTTCTGATCCACTGGTTACGTTTTCTATCTTTAAGTAATATACCCAACATTTGTCTCTTCATCGCTCTTTGTGCCTTCCTTATCCTATCCAAATTGGCCTGTGTAAATGTCCATGTCTGTGCTCCGTAGGTGAGCACCGGTATTATACAGGAGTTATATACCTTGCTTCGTAAGTATATAGGGATTGTTTGATTTTTTAGAACGTAAGAAAGTTTGCCGAACGCTGCCCATCCCATTCTTACTCGTCTCGATATTTCGGCTGTTTGATTTTCTCTGTTAGCTCTGATTGCTTGTCCTAGATAGATATACTCATTTACCTGTTCTATTTTTTCTGTTTGTATTTTTATTGCCTCTTGGTCTTCTGTGTTTGTCATTACTTTTATTTTGTTAAAGTTAATTTTTAGGCCTTTTTGCAGTGATTTTTCATAAAGTTCATTCAGCATTAATTCCAGTTCTTGTGGTTCCGAGGAGATCAGGAGTATATCATCCGCATATCTTAGGTGATTTAGATATTTTCCGTCAATACATTTCCTCTGTTTTCCCAATCTCTGTTGATTTTATTATGTCTTCGAGGGTCAAGGTAAACAGTTTAGGTGAAATTATATCGCCTTGTCGGACTCCTCGTTTAACTTTTATATTATCCGTTATTAATTTGTCGTCCAGAATTACGGTCATGGTTGCGTTTTGGTAAATATCATGTATCAATTGTCGGTATCTTGAATCTATTCTACTATTGACCAGAGCTTCTTCAACCGCCCAGTGTTCAATGCTGTCGAAAGCCTTTTCATAATCTACGAATGCTAAGTACAGCGGAAGGTTGTATTCATTGGTTTTCTCAATTAAGATTTTAAGCGAATGTAGATGGTCGATTGTGCTGTACCTTTTCTGAATCCGGCCTGTTCCACTGGTTGGTAGTTATCAAGTTTATAGGTTAGTCGGTTGTTTATTATTCTTGTAAAGGTTTTATATAGTTATAACAAAAGGGAAATAGGACGGTAGTTGTTGAGGTCTGTACGGTCTCCTTTCTTATGTATTAAGATTGTGTTTGCATTTCTCCATTGTTTAGGTATTTTACCTTCAAACAGACAGTATTGAACAGTATTTTTAGCATTTTTTTTATCGTGTCTCCTCCTTCTTTTAGCAGTTCCGCCAGTATTTTGTCCTCACCGGCCGCTTTATTTCTTTTCATGTCGTTTATGGATTTTTCGATTTCATCTTCAGTTATTTCTGGTAATACCTCTGAGTATACCTTTAACAGTTCTTCAGCAAAACCTTCAGTTTTACTGAAGAACTGTTTAGTCACGGTTAAAGATAAAATTCAAGGCCGAAGTATAGGCGTAGTGGATTAGATTTTGCTGTTAAATTTTTCAGATGATTTGTATACGAAAGCGTGCGGTCCTACGTGATACCTAACCTATATATTTTAAGTGAGTCTTAAAAAGAAAAACGATGTTCTTAAAAGTAATTGCTGAATATACTTTGGTTATCTGATTGTTTACAGGAAGCAACATTTTGCGGTTGGAATCTATAGCCTCGTGGAAAAAGGTTATAAGGCAAAAAAAGAAAAATTAAGAAACGTGTGTTCTTGTTTGTTTTTGCTCAGTTTTTTGAATACATTTTTGTGAAAAAAATTAGTTTTGACTTTAAACTGTGACATTTTGATAGAAAATTTAATTTGAATAACATTTTGTAGTTGTATATATACCAAAAGTGCATAGAATTCACCCAAATGCACCGTAGTGCATAGGACAAATTCACGCCTTTCTCAAATACGCACCCCTTTTAATGGTAGCATTCCGCGGTTTGTTATATTTGGTGATCCATTGATCATATGAAACAAGCAAACCCCTTTAACCTTGTAGTTCCTTTTAGCTCTATTTTTGAACATAATCAATAGCCTGCCATTTAAACGGCTCCATGTTACAAAATAATATCGCTTCAACAAAACAAAATATATGATTTTACTATTTTTTATAATTTTTATAAATACATATAACAATTCAACTTACCGATTTTGCAGTGGTCTTAAAACAAAGTTTGCTTTATTTTTTTTTAATCATAGCTTTACATTATTTGATGTTTTTTATGTATTTTGTAGAGTTTCCTAAGGTTGACAATAAATTAAAACGTTACGGACATAGTCCATTGTTAATATGCGACAAGGCACTTGTTAGTTAAGTAGGTAAAAAGCTGATCGTGAGAAGAATTGGAGTACATGTAAAGATAGTATATTTAATTCTAAACACTCTTGTTATTCTGACCAGCTTGCTTTTATTGAACAGCTTATTTGGCAACTAATGAAAAATTAAGTAGAACATTATTTGTATTTAATAAATGTATTTTTTACAAACACAAAAATCGTTTGTTAAAATAGTTAATTGCCAAAAATTAGAAAGGTATAAATGCCATTTCATTGAAATCCTTAAAACGATTTTTGAAGTTACTCTTCAGGGTAGAAATTATTTCTACATGATATTTGTTGTCATAGGATTCTAATGGATTTTGAGATATTTTTTCTGAAAAAATAGGAAAATGCTTGCAATCTAGGGCTAACAGTTAGCCCTAGACTCCAGCACAGACCAGAGATAATGTAAGTCAATAAAACCTCACCAGCTACAGGGGGTCATGTAAGATGCCCCCATTTTCAGTTTTTATTAATCTACAAATCAACAGTCTATTGCATTTACCTTCATAAACACCTTGAGGATAGTTTTTTAATACGGAGTTCTGTACTATGTTTTCACGTGGCCATACAATGTTTTTTTGACAACTTTTTATTAAACTGATGATGGAATGAGTTTATTCCGAAAATATCTTCTTTTAAATAAAGGTTTTAAGCTTTTAATAAGAATTTTTTACTGCGATTGTAGTAAAAATTTCTTATAATGCCGCTTCATGAAATCAAGAGATTTACCTCTTAAATTTATTGTTAAACTATTAAACACTAAAACAGCATTATAAGTAAACGATCGCTGGAAAATAGCTAGTCTATACCTTGGCAGCATAAGACTATGAGGATATCTCAGACCCAGATTATGAGCACCTCCACGATATACAAATTTGTTCCTTAAATAAATAGGATTTGACGACGAAATAATTCGATATATCAATGAGGCGAGGTGATATTTGTATAAATTATCTATTGTTAACCATTGAAGTTCTTTTATTTTGCATGATACACGATCATATTTTCTTATGCCAAAGACAAATCTGTAACAATTATTTTGAATTTTTTGCAAGCTTAATTTCGTAACTTGATCTAAGCAAGGATAAAATACCAAGTACTTTGAAGTATTTGAATAGTTAAACCAATTGTGGTAAAACATTTCATATTCGAAACTGTAAATTTTTCTTTTATGTCCCAATGGTATACAAAAACTTGTTAGTTTGCTTATTTTCTAGTAGAGACAGACTCAAGGAAATCAATTTTTCCACAGAAATGTGGCATCAGTGGACCACATGGGTTAGTCTCAATTAAAAATATAGTTTTGCAAAATATCTGGATTCTGTATAACTTTCGTCAAAAAAAATATCGGTTTCTTAATTTGATTGTAAGGTACATACAAT